AATGTGATGTGAACATATTATTTTGACGTATTATATATATGTATAGGAGCCATAGTAGTGTATTGTCATATTTAATAACTTTGTCCATGTAATAAATGCCCTCTCTTCTTTTCTAATTGGAAAATGAACCAAGATATAAGAGAATTGAAATGAACCGCATTATCATTTAATCTAGAAATTAAACTTGAAAATGCAAGTACTTTGGGCCATCGATCTCTGATATGTTTAGGCGCAAGCACAGCGAAGATCCCACTACTTTCCAACACCCTCCTTATTTCAGACCATTAGGAAACCATTAGGAGCTAGCAGACTGGAGTCTTATTGTGTTATGACTTGAAAGCCATAAATCTGGGATATGCATCCTGAGTCCCTCAATGTTCCCACTCAGGGTCCATTTTACTCCGCTCTGCGGACAGAGCACACAGAACATCCTCTCTCACAATCCCACAGAAACCATCCATGTGTAGAGGAAATATTAAAATGTCTGCCATTGCTACCGTAGGCGAAGGCAAGATTCCTGCATAATTTCCTGAAAAACGAAGAAAACCGCACTTACAGTGTCATTTTATTAAAGTGACACTGTCAATAAAGTTTGAAAAGTTTTCCATAAATAGTTAAAATTCTATTCCCAACCGTTTAGCACCATCTCCATCTACCCAGGTAAATACAGGTTAAGCTGTAAATACCACTTGGAAACACATTTTATTTTATTTTTTAATAATTAAAAATATATATTTTTTGATCGCATAAAATATTCAGAGACAAATTAAAAGTTATCGATTTAAAAAAAGTCCAAGCTCATGTTTTGTATGCCACAAGTCAGTGTGAATTGTCAGGAATTCAAAGCAAATTTCAAGTTTTTGTAAGATTGTATTTAAAAAAAAATACAAATGGTCAGCAATAGGTGCAGGCATCTGATGGTGCATATACCGATCCTTGGTGACAGGAGCACTTTAAATAATATCTTGAGATAATTTAATCTCACTGTCTATGGTCGGAAAAGATGCATCTCATCACAGTCAGGCATTCTTGCTTTATGTAACAAAATTACTTAGAAAATAAAGAAATAACCCATTTAAGGCATCTGGCAAATAAGCTACACAAGACATCCCGGTGACTTGGACACTTGACTGAGCCACTTAATTTAATGGGGGCCGACCTGACCCAGGTGCCACCGACCATCCATCCACAGCGTGAATTTAAAGTGACCCGTAAAATCCATCATAGTGTGACAGAAGTGGCTGTTTGTGTTTGGTGTTATTGCAGCTGCTGGACTTCACTTTGCTGTGTGACTGGTCTTCCTAGGAAATAATCCATCTTTTTTTCCCGTCATTTAACCCCCAGCCCTGCCAGGTGACTCACCATTTACCACTTTATTTTGACAAACAATAAATAGATTTACTTTGCAGGAATATCTATAACGCTATGGTGGGCATAGATTTTTTTACTAATGAAAAGAAATGAACCCGTTTAGAAATGGAAAAAAAAAACACTCAGTAGCTCCCCTTGTTTGTATTATCTATTTATTTTTATTTTACAAGAACAGTAGGTTGATGTGGACCCTGCTCGAAAGAGCTTACTGTCTAGGGGAATTGAGGGGGTCAATACTTTGGGAAATTAAAAAAGGACAACTTACGTGTATTTTATAATATCTGTGGTTCTATCTTATTTCTTCTAACAAGCAGGTGTTTAACATACGACAAAGTATGCAAAACAGGCTAAGAAGTTTGGCCTTCCAATATACAAAAATAAGGTGTTTTCATATTTTATTCCTTTACTAACTGATACTTAGATATTTTATCAATTTGTTGTATGGATTATTGCTGTACATGTCATGATTCCCTTTTATTCCAGAAGTTTGGTCCTTAAGGGGTTAATTCCTTTGTTCTAAAGTGATTATTTTGGGGGAAAAACAATATTTCAATGTAATCACAAATATTTTGCATGATGGTACAAATGGTGACCCAGCAGTAAATGTGTCTTTACTCTTAGAATTCCACATACATACATAGATATATTTTTAAATACGTGTTCATTCACAGACATACATATTTACATACATGCAATCACATGCATATACATACATACACGTAATTTCACATACATCATTTAAATGAAAGCACAGCTCGGATAAAATGCTTAGTACACTATAGCACAGTGCGTCTTTGTAAATCTGATTTATGGCTGTTAATTGCTTATATTTTTTTTTTACCAGACTGTATTGCTGATGTGCGAATTCCGAGGGAGCCATTTCTGTATGCTGTAAAATACTGGGCCCCTAGATTATACGGATCACAGACTGACATTGGGTATTGCATGGCACTGGGAATTGGACAAATCAAAGTTACTAGACGCGGGCATTAGTAAACTATTAATAGGGATTGATTGTGTGCAAAACAGATTCTCTTTTCATTTCAATTCTACACCCCATATTAAAATGAGTAATCATTTATATATTGCCAACATTTTTTAGTGCCGCGTTACAGTTTTACAAAGGGCAAATAAAACAGCAGGTAATTCCAAAATAATATCGACTAAACCAAGACCAAAAGACGAGTACTATCTACAAGTTATTGCTTATAATGTGTCCACCCTTTGAGGCTATTGGTGGTCTCTTGGCCTACCTTTCCTAGCTTTTATTGGGGTAGCTTGTATTTGCTCTGCAGGTGTGTGATTTGCAGGATTGTCTAGTTTCTGACCTTTCTATCCCATTATGAGTCAGGCGATAAAACTATTTAATGTACAATATTCCAGCTCAGCATGAGAGGTGCTCTCATCAACATAGAAATAGCCCTATTGTTAATCTGCAGCCTGTTTCTGCGGCTGTGTGTGCCAGGCAGTCCCTGGCATTCCGCATGGGGTTAATCTACTATATAGGATTTACATGAAGCTGGTGCTATGTGTCTGCTTGTTGCTGGGCTAGGTTCTGTGGCATCCATTTTACACTAGCCCTGAAATCTTCTTTTCAGAGCTCAGTAGCTGAGAAATCGCAAATTAGCACAGGGTTGATACCCATGAAAGGATTTAGCCAAGATTTCACACAATAAATCTGTCACGGGGCATGTTTTATGTAGTGATGGTGGCTTCTCTCTTTTTGTGACATGCATTGTAACTGTGTGTTTTATTCTGGGTATAGTGGGTAAGGGTTTTTGCTGGGAATAATTGCTGAGGGGAGAAGTTCAGTTCCTGTGGTGGGTGTAATCTGTCCTAAAGCTGGTAAAATGGCTGTAGAGTCAGCCCATAGAGGGGCGCAGCTAGGGTGGGAGGTATCTCTCACATTGCTGAATATAGTGGGGTGCAGTAGAGTGGGTGGGTTTCTAGCAGTAAAGTGTCAGGGTGTAGGGGGTCCTCTGTAGTGTAGCTGTTGGGGGGTAGAGGACTGTTTCATTGCTGGTGGGACGGTACTGGAATTGTGGATATTTATCAGTGCAGTGTATGGCAGGTTTTAGGGGGCTACAGTGCAGTATGTGGCAGGTCTGTTGCTGGATGTAGTGATTCCTGTGTATAGTGGCAAGGTACAGGGGATTCAGTGTAGTGTGTGGCAGTGTATAGAGGGGTTCTGTGCAGTGCTGGTGTTGGAGGTCCTGTGTAGTGGGGGCAGTGTTGGAGGTCCTGTGTACTGGGGGGCGGTGTTGGAGGTCCTGTGTAGTGGGGGCAGTGTTGGAGATTCTGTGTAGTGGGGGCAGTATTAGAGGTCCTGTGTACTGGAAAGCAGTGTTGGTGTTGGAGGTCCTGTGTAGTGGGGGCAGTGTTGGAGGTCCTGTGTAGTGGGGGCAGTGTTGGAGGTCCTGTGTAGTGGAAGGCAGTGTTGGAGGTCCTGTGTAGTGTGGGCAGTGTTGGTGGTCCTGTGTAGTGGGGGCAGTGTTGGTGTTGGAGGTCCTGTGTAGTGGGGGCAGTGTTGGAGGTCTTGTGTAGTGGGGGCAGTGTTGGTGGTCCTGTGTAGTGGGGGCAGTGTTGAAGGTCCTGTGTAGTGGGGGCAGTGTTGGAGGTCATGTGTTGTGGGGGCAGTGTTGGTGGTCCTATATAGTGGGGGCAGTGTTAGAGGTCCTGTGTAGTGGAGGCAGAGTTGATGTTGAAGGTCCTGTGTAGTGGGGGCAGTGTTGGAGGTCCTATGTAGTGGAGGCAGAGTTGGTGTTGGAGGTCCTGTGTGGTGGGGGCAGTGCTGGAGGTCCTGTGTAGTGTGGGCAGTGTTGGTGTTGGAGGTCCTGTGTAGTGGGGGTAGTGTTGGTGTTGGAGGTTCTGTGTAGTGGGGGCAGTGTTGGAGGTCCTGTGTAGTGGAGGCAGAGTTGGTGTTGGAGGTCCTGTGTAGTGGGGGTAATGTTGGTGGTCCTGTGTAGTGGGGGTAGTGTTGGTGTTGGAGGTCCTGTGTGGCCAGTGGGGGTAGTGTTGGGTCACACCAATGTAGTGGGGGGCAGTGTTGGTGTTGGAGGTCCTGTGTAGTGCGGGCAGTGTTGGTGTTGTAAGTCCTGTGTAGTGGAGGCAGAGTTGGTGTTCGAGGTCCTGTGTAGTGGGGGTAGTGTTGGTGTTGGAGGTCCTGTGTAGTGGGGGCAGTGTTGGAGGTCACGGCCTTGAGTGGGGGTAGTGTTGGAGGTCCTGTGTAGTGGGGGTAGTGTTGGAGGTCCTGTGTAGTGGGGGCAGTGTTGGTGTTGGAGGTC